AGTGTTGAAGTAAGGAAAGGAAAGAAAAGACAAAGAATTAGATTATTCTATGACTTTCATTATGATCTTGTGGTTGTACATCAACATTATTGTCCTCATCTGGGATAAGCTGACTTGGCATCTGCAAAGTAGAAATGAGGTGAAGTAGATAGCAGAGGGGAGATAGATGGGTACAGACAAGAACAACAGCCGTATCAACCAGAAAAATTTATGCAACAATGCATTTAGTAAATGAAAACAAAATGGCACGAATCGTCTAAAAAGAAGCAATAAGGGAAGTGGAAAGACAGAATATTGTATTATCTAGAAACCTGGGTGTTTCTGTGATATTACTCTGAATGTCTTAGAAACACAACTATAAAGCTTAAGATAAGAGCCATTGTGTGAGCTCTGACAGACACAAAAAAAGAGGATAAGAAAAGTCTCATCTTGGCTCACCTCGGTACGACCTCTCATTCAGCTCGCTCTCCTGAGCAGTCTGAACAGGAAGCACCATCTCCAACTTGGGCGGCGGTGCGCTCAGAGGGTCGGAGCCTGGCGCTACAGGTGACGCTGTAGTCTGTAGGCCATGGTCACCCGCTCCAAAGCTGTCCAATCCTGCTTCTGATCCGAGCCCGGTGTCAGCTACCGACGGGTCCATGAGGACATCCTCTAACTCCCTCTGGAGCTGCTGCTCACTTCCATTTCCCACAATCTGATACACACACACACAGACACAGAGGAGTAGAGACACACACACACATACACACACATAGAAACAGACATGAACACAACCACATCAAGGAGCAGGGTAAAAAGGAAGCATAAAAACAATTACCAAAGTACAAGAACAAATACTGATACAAAACAAAATCACTGTAAGTTTAAACTAATCTTTAGACCTACATGAAGTGCATTACAACTGTCTCTTAGTTTGTAGAAATGTGAACTCGCTCTGCCTCTCAGAGCAATCTTGTAACTCATTTCAAGTGATTGCAGTGTGATTAAGGGGGAAAGACGCCTTGTTTCATGTTGGCGGTGAGAGATATAGCTTCATTACGTTTCAACCAATATTAGTGATTAGTAGCTTTGTGAGTTTGAGTTGTGAAACACCTGTATCAAAACACAGAGCTGTACCAACATTAATTGTGTGAGCTTATTCCAAACACAATAAATAGCAAAATCTAAAAGCAAGCTTAAAGCTGCACAAACCATGAGGTGCCACAAAAGGAGACAAGGCCCCATTTTCCCTGCCTGCTGAGCAGACTCAGGCTGCAGAGGGCACTGCTATACTGAGCTATAAGGGACACTTGAGAATAGAGAAGGTGATTTTTCAGCCTTTGTAGTATATGTGATTATTGCACAGTTGAATATTCAGGTTAAATTTTCCAAGTAGGCTCTCAATATGGAAATCTGTTCAGTGCTGTAAGACTCAAGCAATTATTAGAGTAGGGCGGATACTACAGTGCAACTATAGTGTCTATAGTTCTAGTTCCACATAATGAAAAAAATAATTGAAGACTGTTATAAAGCAGCTTCACACATCTGACATAACTATGCAACTGTGGTGGGCCCTGTGGTTTACAGGTAGCGCTAAAAGCCTGTTATCATTTAGGTACAACTACAGTCCCATGTGTGAGAACGTCTATCACTACCATCGTCAAAACCTAAGTGTTAAAGAGGCTGGCTACGGCCATCACTCAACAGCCGGTAAAAGTACACACAAATAATCACAGACAGAATCACCACGGAATCACATCACAGAAAGAGAGAAAAACAGATAGACAAGAAAGAAAGAGATACAGAGAGTAGAGGAGGAAAAGGGAAAGATAGTGAGAGAAGAGACTGACCTTAAAGCTGACCCCTTCCTCAGAAATCACCTGCATAACAAACAACAAGTTTAGACACACTGACTTCTCTCTGACTGGATGGGCTGACTGGGAGGGAAATGTGCACAAGAGTGTGTTGGCGAAAACCAATACATGATATCTGGATGGCCAAGTGTCAGTGAATGGAGTGATTTCACTGTTACAGAACAGTGGAGGGGTGTGTGAGGAACCGCTTTTCTTCCCTCAGACAGCAGGTACACAACGGCCACCACAAGGCCGCACAAAACTGATACCTCAACTCAGTTTTCCATCAAAATAACTGTGATCCTATCGTCGTGTAAGAGGCTAAATCCTTTTCGCTCATCTACAAGCACAGCAAATGACAGGAAAAAAAGTGTGTGACCTCTTCCTAGCGACTGAATATGCAACATCCATGCTCGGCTGGCGCCATCTTCTGGTACCTTTGTAACATCGAGTTGACAATTCCATCCTTTACAAAGAAACACAGGCACAGTAATAATATGAACTAATGGACACAGTATGAACATGCGAGCGAGCTACTCACGTAAATTCAATAAAAGGAAATGTGATAAGTTGTAAACTAAAAGACACATGGACAAAATGTATCCCGAGGAGAGGAGAGGAGAGGAGAG